GGGGTTTCACCATGTTGACCAGGATGGTCTCGATCTCTTGACCTCGTGATCCACCCGCCTCGGCCTCCCAAAGTGCTGGGATTACAGGCTTGAGCCACCGCGCCCGGCCCACAGCTGAGCTTTTATTTGATTGATTGATGGAATGAGACAGGGTCTTGCTCTGTCACCCAGGCTGGAGTGCAGTGGCACAATCTCAGCTCACTGAAACCTCTACTTTCCAGGATCAAGTGATTCTTCAGCCTCATCAGCTTCCTGAATAGCTGGGGCCTCAGGCACACATCACCATGCCTGGCTAATTTTTGTATTTTTTTGTAGAGGCAGGGTTTTGCCATGCTGCCCAGACTGGTCTTGACTCCTGGGCTCAGGCAACCCTCCTGCCTCAGCCTCCCAAAGTGTTGGGCTCACACCTGCAATCCCAACACCTGCCCTCCCGACCTGGGAGGGCAGCACAGGGCACACACAGCCTCCCTGGGCCCACAGGGTCACACATCTGGCCTGAGTAGGCACCCTGGAACATGCCAGGCTGCCTTGGGCCCACTTGGCACCTGGCACACAGGCAGAGAAACCCGTGGCCTCACTAGCTGTCTCTGCACACCTTCTAGGTAGACTCCTGCCACCCCATGGACAGGCACTGCTTCCAGTCCAACAGGATTTCAATGAGGCTGGTATCTTTGGAGGGGAGGGCCTGGCTCTCACCCCCACTTCTGCCCTATGAGTACACCTCGTGCAACACAGGCATGGGGCAGGTGACAGACAGGGCTTCAGCACCAGCTCCCCAGACTCAGCCCAGCCATCCCTGGAGCAAGGGATGCACAAACACACACAAACACAGGCACGCACACGCATGCATACACATGCATGCACACACGACTGAGTTGCTTCACAAAGTGACTGAATGTGGATCTGTACATCACACAAATCCACATACACGCCCTCAGCCAAAAGGAGGCAACCAAATAAAACCAATCGATCCTTTCGCATGATGAGGCCCCCCATGCAGACTCATGGCACGGGAAGCCACTCAGACAGTGTTGGGTGGGCAGCTCTGGTGACACCCAGTACTGGGGCTGGCCACCCCCATGCTGGCCCCAACCCCAAACCCCCTTGGTTCCACCTCTACGCTGCCAACACACTGGAAAGCAGCACCACTCAGTTAGGGTCACTCAGGCCACGCCAGGGCTGGGGAAGCACACAGGAAGACTCACCGCTGAGGATCTCATTGTTGTTCCCCCAGAAATCAGCTAATTTGGAGGGTCGACTGTAGAATTCGTCCCTGTTGGCTGCCAAGATGAGCCTGCAAGAGGACAGCACCGCTGACGGCCTCAGATGGAAATGAGTGAGCCAGCTCTTTTTCTCTCCTCAAACACAAAACTGGCCTCAGTGGCAGTAAGGGCCAGTCTCAGAGAGGACAGGAAGCTGGCAGTTCCGCCGTGCCTGCACAGGAGGAAGGAGCACATTGGCTCCAGGTGAGCTCCTGGGAACCTGCAGCCAGGACTACATTTGGAGCCTTGCCTGGGAAACAGGCAGATGCTGGGAAGAGACACACATCCACACCCTCAATGGCGGGGGATGGGTTTGTCAGGCCCTAAGGGGCTGGCACCAAGCATGCCTGTGAGCCCAAGCTAGAGGGCGCAGGGCTGTTCCTCCTGTCCATCTGTCCCCAGCCCTGGGAACACCCACAACAAACCCTCGGGCTTCTGGAAGCGTGAGCTCAAGGACAGACTGAACAGCACAGCATGTGGGCCTCCAAGGGCCACTCTGTTCTGCATCTTTTGGAGTTAATTTCTGGGGTCGGGGGGAGTGGATGGAAACTTCTCTGTTTTATGAGTATTTTACATTATGAATCAAACAAATATTTCTTTTGCAATTAGGAGAGACATCTAAACTTGAAGAGCCCTGGCCTTAAGGAAAAAAACTGAGTTTCAAGTCCCAGTTTGGACACTGGAAGAAAATAAGGACATAGTGGTGACTGAGTGGAAAGGGTCAGTTCCTGCAACGTCCATGAGACCTGAGGGTCTAAGAAGTGATGGATGGGCCAGGGACAGTGGATGACACCTGTCATCCCAGCAGTTTGGGAGGCCAAAGTGGGATGATCACTTGAGCCTAGGAGTTTGAGACCAGCTTGGGCAACAAAGTGAGGCCCCCCACCTCTACAAAAAAGAAATACAAAAGTTAGTCAGGCATGGTGGTGCATCCCTGTGGTCACAGCTAGTTAGGAGGCTGAGGCAGCAGGATCGTTTGTGCCCAGGAGTTTGAAGCTACAGTGAGCTGCACCACGGCACTACAGCCTGGGGAACAGAAAAGCCCTGTCTCTTAAAAAAAAAAACAAAAAAACAAGCGATGGCTGAAGACCCCCTGAGCACTTGTGCCATAGAGAGGCAGCTCCAAGGAGCAGGGCTTGGCTATCCTGCCATCACACTGTGGGTCTGAAACCAAGGTGTAGTGGTTAGATCCCGACAAGCGTTTCAAAATAGTTTCCATATCGATCACTGCACATCAATTTCACAAAACATTTGCTCCTGATGAAATGTGAAATAACAGACATTCGTAACATTGAGAGTCCAACTGGTGCTTGCACCCACCACTCATGCTCTTGGAGGTGTTCACACCTGTGTGCACACGTGTGCCCCCTACTTAGCACCTGCCCCTGAAGCTTCCTGTCTGCAGAACTGGGGAAATGCTTTTGGTTGTTTCCAGGGACTGTGCCATGCCCTAGAACACTTGGGGTCTGCTACGGAAGCCTTACCACCTTCAGGGTGCCCCATTCAGCCTGCTCTGATGCCCAGCTGACCCCAGGGCTCCCCCAGGTCTCGGGGATGTGCTGCCTGGGGCAGCAGGAGGTGGTCTCTGACCCTGATATGAGCCTCAGCCTTTCATAGAACCATCCTTTTGTACCTCTAAATGCTGTATTTCAACCCGGACCTGGCCCAAGTCTCCATGTCCCTTCTGGGCAGAGGTACCCCCCAACCTCTGCAGCAGTGATGGCAGCAGAGTCCACCTTTCCTGGGCTGGTTAGTGCTAGTACAAGGCAGTGTATCTGCCGTAGACCTGCATGAGCCACTCCTGTAGAAGGTGCCCATTGGTTGTGGCCTGGCCAGCAGGCAGAAGGGAGAATACCACAGTCCGTGAGTGCTGTGGTGGGGATGCGCCAGGGTCCGGGATAAGAGCTCCTCCACCCCATGGGTGGGGTCAAGCTCCAAGTGGTTCCGCTCAACATTCTCTCTTAAATACCTTCCTCCCGGCCGGGCGCAGTGGTTCACGCCTGTAGTCCAGCACTTTGGGAGGCCAAGGCAGGTGGATCATGATGTCAGGAGATCGAGACCAACCTGGCCAATATGGTGAAACCCCGCCTCTACTACAAATACAAAAAAATTAGCTGGGTGTGGTGGTGCAAGCCTGTAGTCCTAGCTACTTGGGAGGCTGAGGCAGGAGAATTGCTTGAACCCAGGAGGCGGAGATTGCAGTGAGCTGAGATTGCGCCATTGCACTCCAGCCTAGGCGACAGTGCGAGACTCCATCTCAAAAAAAACCCACAAAAAACAAAAAAAACCACCTTCCTCCCCTGCTCCCACATTCCAGAGCAGTTGAACAGGAGCCCGGGGAGCCAAGGACACCTAAGCCCAGTCCAACCCCAAGCCAGGCTGGTGCTGTTGGCTTTGGGTTCTGATTCTAACATAATGCTCTCACAAGGGGAAAATAATGGGGGGAAAGTAAGAAGAAAAGCTGACTGAGCAGGGACTTCTGTCCTAAGATGCTCAGCTGTCTGTTTTTAAATAAGGAGCAATTATGTATGTTTGCCTAATAACTCAGTAACATTAATTACCAGGTTATTTTTGTCCCAGCAGTCACTGTGGAGCTGAATAGCTGGTGGTTTGCCAAGGATTTCATTGAATACAAAATTCAGGAATGAGCCAGTGTGCTGAGTACCGAGATCGAGCCCCAGAGGGAGGAGGAAGTAGCTCTCTCAGTCATCCCTGGTGAGGTTGCACAAGAACAGAAGCCTATCTGCACCCCACGTCTGGAGACACAGGGATGCTCCCACCGTGGCAAGGTCCCCGAGGATGGAACATCACCCTGGCTTAATTTTGTTCCAATAACTAAAATCAGTAATTATCCATCACCACTGGACACTCATGCTGCTGCAATGTGAGTGTGTGCACCGTCTGGTGGGGCGTGAGTATGTACATCATCTCAGGGGGTGAGTGTGTTCTGCTACGGGGTGTGTGTGTGTACCATCTGGGGCGCAGTTTGGTGACAGGTAGGTAGGAGGTACTCTGGCCTGAGATCCAGTGATCAAACCCTCAGTGGTGACCCACGGAAGCTGCCCCATGCGGTAACAACTTATCCCGCAGCCACTTCAGGCTGGAGCCAGCAATGAGCATTGCATGGGGCTGTCACAGGCAGCATTTTTTTTTTTTTTTTTTTTTTTTTTTGAGACGGAGTTTCGCTCTTGTTACCCAGGCTGGAGTGCAATGGCACGATCTCGGCTCACCGCAACCTCTGCCTCCTGGGTTCAAGCAATTCTCCTGCCTCAGCCTCCTGAGTAGCTCGGACTCCAGGCACACACCACCATGCCCAGCTAATTTTTGTATTTTTAGTAGAGATGGGGTTTCACCTTGTTGACCAGGATGGTCGCGATCTCCTGACCTCGTGATCCACCCGCCTTGGCCTCCCAAAGTGAGCCACCGCGCCCTGCCAGCTTTTTTTTTTTTTTTTTTTTTTTGAGACGGAGTTTCGCTCTTGTTACCCAGGCTGGAGTGCAATGGCACGATCTCGGCTCACCGCAACCTCCGCCTCCTGGGTTCAAGCAATTCTCCTGCCTCAGCCTCCTGAGTAGCTCGGACTCCAGGCACACACCACCATGCCCAGCTAATTTTTGTATTTTTAGTAGAGATGGGGTTTCACCTTGTTGACCAGGATGGTCGCGATCTCCTGACCTCGTGATCCACCCGCCTTGGCCTCCCAAAGTGCTGGAATTACAGGCATGAGCCACTGCACCCGGCTGGCCGTAAACAAGCAGTTTAGAAAGAGATAGGGTGACACGATGGAGTGACTGTGTTATCTTGCTGTGGTGTTTTGGTTTTCTGTGATGGGTATCAAATTACCAAACGTAGTGGCCTAGGCTGGGCCTGGTGGCTCATGCCTGTAATCCCAGCATTTTGAAAGGCTGAGGCAAGAGTATCGCTTGGGCCCAGGAGTTCGAGACCACCCTGGACAACATAGTGAGACCGTGTCTTTACCAAAAAAAAAAAAAAATTAGCCAGGCATGCATTGTGTAGCCCCAGTTACTCAGGCATGCTGAAGTGGGAGGATCACTTGAAGCAGGGAGTTTGAGGCCGTAGTAAGCTATAATTGTATCACTGTACTCCAGCCCAGGCAACAGAGCGAGATCCTGTCTCAAAAATAATAATATACTCCACTGGGGGGGAGTAAAAAAAAAAAAAAAAATAGCCGGGCGCGGTGGCTCAAGCCTGTAATCCCAGCACTTTGGGAGGCCGAGGCGGGTGGATCACGAGGTCAAGAGATCGAGACCATCCTGGTCAACATGGTGAAACCCCATCTCTACTAAAAATACAAAACTTAGCTGGGCATGGTGGCGTGCGCCTGTAATCCCAGCTACTCAGGAGGCTGAGGCAGGAGAATTGCCTGAACCCAGGAGGTGGAGGTTGCGGTGAGCCGAGATCGCGCCATTGCACTCCAGCCTGGGTAACAAGAGTGAAACTCCGTCTCAAAAAAATAAAAATAAAATAAAATAATAATAATAATAAAAGCAGAGTGGCTTAAAGCACCCCACTTTATACCCCAGTCCACAGGTGAGGAGCCCAGCCCAGCCTAGCTGGGTACCTGCACAAGGCCTCCCGAAGTGCTGCAGAAGTGCTGGCAGGGGCTCTGCAGAAGCCCCTGTGCCCCGGCCTGCAGCGTGCCCTTCCCCCAGCTGGGCACCCCACAGCTAGAGCAGAAGCAGCCACCAGAGGTGCCTCACACCCTCCCACGAAGTCAGGAAAACACAGTGCACATTTGCTCAGTCACCCGGAGGTGGCATACTTCATCCCTGGCTTAGGCCTTCGGAAAATAGTCCAGAGAGAAATGCCGAGGCCAACTGAATGGCAGGACACACAGGGCGGGTCCCGGCAGTGACACATGGGCTCTGAGTGAAAGCACGAGAGGCCATGTCAACCCTCCTCCTCTCCACTCAGGGAGCTGGGTGGCACTGACCGGCACCTGCAGGCTGGCTGTCAAGCTTCCTCCCCAGAGATGCAAGCACCCGGGGCGGGTCGAGTCTCCTTGGCAGCCTGCAGGAAGCCACCCTGAAACCCACACGGAGCCAGCCGGCTCTCCCGATTGCTAATTTCCTAGAGCTGCCATAACCAAGCACCACAAAGTAGGCGGTGGCAACAACAGACACTAATGTCTCACAGCATTGGAGACTGGAGGTCCAAGATCAAAGCATCAGTAGGGCTGGCTCCTTCTGAGGGCTTCTTGGTATGCAGGGGACTGCCTCTATTTCTGTACACACACTAGCTTCCCCTGTGTGTATCTGCGTCACCCATCATATTGATTAGAGCATACCCACCTGACTTTATTTTGCCTTAATCGTTTTTTTTAAGACTCATTGTCTAGCTCTGTCACTCAGGCTGGAGTGCAGTGGCGTGATCATAGCTCAGGCAGCCTTGAACTTCTGGCTTCAAGCAATCCTCCTGCCTCAGCCTCCCGAGGTGCAGGGATTAAAGGCATGAGCCGCCGCACTCAGCCATCCTTAATCACTTCTTTAAAGCCTCCGCCTCTAAATGCAGTGACATTCTTAGGTACCAGCAGTTAGGACTTCAAGATGGGCATTTGCAGGAGACATGGTTTAGCTCACAACGCCCTGTGACGGTGGACAGCCCAGGCCAGGGTTCTGTCCTCTCACTGGCTCTGCCTCCTGGGAATGGACTCAAAGGGACTGTCCTCCCACTTCCCTGAGCACCAGCTGTGACAGCCACAGTGTGCACCCTAGGGACAAGGCCTGGCAGTTTTCACCCTGCGTTACTCTTGCCTGTTTCCCAGTTAGCTGACTATGGCCAAGGAAGTGGCAGGAGGGAAACAGTGAGTGAAGGAGAGTCCCAGGGGCTCGGGCTGACCTGAGGTCAGGGTGACCTGGGAGGTGCTGTGAGGCCCAGCTGGTGAACGTGGAGGCCTGGGGTGTGGCCCTGCTGGCTAGAGTCAGTGGAAGCAGAGCCTCTCCCAGCGATGTCCAGGCAGGCAGAGCTGCTGCGTGGATGAGCCGCTGAGTCCCAGCTCCCAGGCCCGAGGGGATTGGCTGGTGGAAAACCACAGCAATGAAAACCAAGCCTCAGACCATCCCCCAGGTATGCAACCGAGAGCAGCAGAGGTTCTGGCTGAGTGCAGCAGAAGGAAGCCAGGGCCCAGCCACAGCCTGGTGCGTGCCCAGGAGCGAGAACACTGGTGCGCAGCTCCTTTCTGCTGCCTATGGGTGTGCTGTGTATGCTCGCTGTTGTCTTCTTCTTTCTCCTCGATTTTACTCTATGTGCAAGTGGTCAGAGGTAACTCTGGAAACACAGTATCAAGTGAGGCTGTGGCTAAATCTGGAAGTAATGGAACGCAGCCAGTGACAGCTTCAGGGGCCATTGGGCTATGTCTCTTTATCTGGGAACTTCTTTGCTAGTCAGATAGAAATACAGTTGCTTGGCTGGCACATGCGAATTTAAGTGAGCATAGAAGGGTGTGTAGGAAAGCTGAGGAGCCAAAGGCTAGACCGTGACAGTTAACGGATATATTGCATCTGCTCAGCTCCAAATTCACCCTGCATCACCTGCTCTGTGATAACGGGGCTGAACATCGGCTGGTTCCACGTTAAGTTTTGTCAGAAGAGGGCGCTGGAGAGATACTGGAGGAGGAAGGCTTCTTTCCCGGCTCCTGCATCCTTTCTCAGGAGGCTTCTGCAACAAGTGAGGCTTTCCTAGCTCTTCAGGGCACAACAGCAGCACCCATCAGTCAGCACCTTCCCCTAGCAGCCACCCTGTGACAGCTACCAGGCACTCTAGAAGGCAAATTTCCAGGAAACCTTGCCAGCGTGGCACCCCAGAGACTTCCAAGACATCCAGATGGCCATGGTGTGCCCTCTCCAGCAAGGTCTGGATCTTAGCTGGGGGTGGAAGAGGGAGCTCTGCCCTGGGCACCCCAGCTCAGCCCTGGGGACAGTGGCTGTTCCTCACCTTATTCCTACATTCTTTAGAGTTCTGCTCACTCATGACCCACCCCCACACGACTCCAGCCCCTGTGGCAGTCAATAGTTCTTAACATTACTTCCACTTGCCCTGCAGCATGCTGTCTGCTGCTTGGACCCTGGCCTGGCCCTGCCATCACCAAATTGCAAAGAGGGAAAACCCCAGACACACCTCCTTCCCTATTCCCTGGCAGAAAATGACTTCATTCAGTCTTGAAGTCAGGCAGCATGGTGTCTACGCAACTTTGCGGTGAGTCAAATCTGAGACCCTCTTGAAATGATTCAAATCAAAATATAGATTTTAAAATGATGAAATCTTCCCGAGCAATTCCATTAGAGAGTAGTTTCAAGTTTCATTTTGGGTGTGGGTTACATCTCTGCCTCATTCTCCATGTGAATAAATGCTGGGGTGTTCTGGGGAATGGAGGTGTGGCCATCCTCAGTTCAGGGTCAGGGGTGGATCCTGGCCTTGGCTTTCTGTCTCTTCTGGCTAGTCCCCAGCATCCTCTCCTCCTTAGGACTCATATACAGACCTCAGGCTGGCTGCCACCTCAACTTCTCACCAGCACCTGTGACCTGCCAGCCCAAGCTGGCTCTTGCTGACACTGTTGCCCCAGTTCTGCTGCCCGACCCCCACCTAAAGCCCATAGAACTGCAGCCCACCTGGACACGACACTCTTCTGTCCTACCTGCACAGCTGCCTTCTGCGGGTCAAGACGGCCAAGGGGAGACCTATATTAATTCTAGCTAAATAATTCTAAGCTTGCTTGTCTCAGAGTACATTGAAGTTTATATACCAAACTAAACTATATTACTGGTGCAGTTAATTAGAAATCAAGCGGCTACAGGAGGCCTAAGGTAAAGACCATCCGAGGGCACAGTAACCCCAGGGAACACCTCGGGGAGGTTTCAGGGCAGGCGATACTGCTCTGGTCCCACGAATGCCTTCTCAACATGGAGACTGCTAGAGGGCCTCAGAACGAGGGCTTATGCAAAGATCTCCGAGAAGGGAGGCGACCTCTGCTCACAAGATCCGGGAGGGTCTTTGCAGATGGGAGCTGGCAAGGAGAAAAGCCTTGCAGGGTAGAGATCAGGGAACACCTCAGGCTCTGCCTAGGTTCTGCGAATATGTGACTATGTCAAGATTTTAATTGCTCTATGTCCCCAAAGCTCAGGAGATAAAAGCCCCTTGATGCTTTGGGAGTGGTCAGACTGGGTGACTCCTCATCCGTTGTACTTCTGATGCAGCTGCACCCAGATAACAGTCCGTGATAAACTCAGAGTACTAGTTTAGCATGTCTTAGAAGGATCTCAGGTGCTGTGAAATGCTCAGAGCATTAGTTTAGCATGTCTTAGAAGGATCTCAGGTGCTGTTAAATGCTCAGAGCATGAGTTTAGCATGTCTTAGAAGGATCTCAAGTGTTCTCCCCGCAGGCTATCTTACCCAATTCCTTGACCCTCTCCTTCCATGTCCATAAGATCAATGAGATTATGCACATAATAAAAGTGTTTGGAGCCCAAAGCTAGGGGCCTAGACGGTATATTCTACTCTTGTGTCTCTGTCTTTATTTCCTTTTCTCAATCTCTCGTCACGCCAGGACTAAGAACACCCATATACAGGGCTGGGGCTGGTACCCAACACCTTCTGTGGCTGAGTCTTCACATCTTTGTACATCAACTAGAGTCCCCGCCCCGAGAGGCATTCTGACAGCATCCCACACTGAGTGACCCTGTCCCGGAGGGCAGTGCCAGGCTTGTGCAGCCCCAGCCTGGCCCACATACCTTCCCACATTCAGCAGCCCAGTGGCGTGAGAACTGGCTGGGCACCTGGGACCCTGCACGGCGCGGCAGACGCAGAGCGAGGGGGTTACCTGTATGCATTTTTTGAAACAGGGCGAGGATCAAACTTAAAGAAGATGATGCACATGGTGGTGCAGGGCGGCTCTGCTCGCACGGGTCGCAAGGTCTGCGGGAAAAAGGAAAACGCTGAGTTGAGTGGATGGCAGACAGCAGGGCCGCCCTCCAATCCTGCAGCAAGCCGGAACAAAACCACCTCTGTGTTGCCTGCAGCGCTTGCCGGCTGTGGGGGAACTGCACGCTGGATACCATACCGTTGGCCTGTGCCACACAAACACCTCCCAAACCCACACGCTCATCGGCACTGGCCAGACTCTCTCCACCACCTGCAAGGCTCAGGGGCCTGGGCCAGAACTACCTCCCACATCTGAACACCAGCCCTGAACAGAAGCATCCCCTCAGCACCGTGGCACTCTTGGGGCCTGGACACACCAAGCTGGGGTGCTGAGTGGGACCCAGGGGTCAGCAGCAGCGAGGGCAGGAGCCACATTGTGAAAAACAAACTTACCCATCCAAAACTAAAGAATGGACTCAGAGGCTCAGAGAAGAGAGAGACTTTTAATGACATTCTTACAAGATCAGGTGTCTGATAGGCAGGCACACCCAGTTTTAATAAGCAATTTATCCCCTAGTGCGCAGGTCCCTCCCTGGGTCCTCACAGGCTGAGTACTACGGGGTCACAGTCTTCCCGGACGTCACCTATTGATTGTTGGGAAGGGGCTTCAGGTGTTTCTTTTTCAGGTTTGTTTTGCTGTATTTTGTTGCAGCCCACAGTGCACTGCAATTCTAGTTAGCTCAAGGGCTTTTTAAGTATTTAACTTACCACCTAAGTAGCAGGGTAGGCTGATACGAAAAGACAAACCGAGCTACTTTGCAGGCTAGTAAACTTTCATCTTAAACTAAACTTCTTTGGTTTGGGTGAAGGCAACTACATGGGGGGAAATGGGGGAAAGAGGAAGGCCGATAAGCACACATCGGCTATCCAAGCAGGGGCCTAGTAGATCCTGTTTCTTCTGTAGTTTGCTCACCTAAGCCCATTTAAGACATTTTGTTTTGGAAATGGACCACTGTGTATGTTTTTACTTCTAGACCCTGCCCCCACATGCCACCAATGAAGGCAGCCCTCCTCCACCGGCAGCCTGCCAGGCAGGACAGCACAGCTCACTCGCCTGGGATGCCAGCCCTACAGGCCCCGCTCAGCACACACACTCACCATCCCACAGGACCCGAGGGCCCAACGCACCCACAGCAGTTGGCATGAACACGTGGCAGGGACACGATGGGTGACTACACACTTAGCACACACCTCGTCCCCACCCAGGGACCTCTGGGACCCGGCAGCCAGTTTTCCGAAATGCAAATGAGTGGAGGACTGAGATTAGAGCCTGAGGCCACCCAGGGTGACACCCAAGTTCCCTGAAATGTACATGTGTGCAGTGATTTAGTGACATGGCTCCAGGGCAGAGCCAGTGCCCATAGCTGGGACATGGGACAGCCAAGAAGCTGTTCAAATACTGAAGAGAGGCAAAAAGATTCCTCCAAGAAAAGTCTAATGAGTAGGAAGGGAGGTGAAGAGGGCTCAGTGTATGTGCTTCCACAGGCACGGGCATCAGGGATGGCCACTGGGGACCATCTGCTCCAGTGAGGAGCTGGTGGGTGTGCAGGTGAGGTGTTGCCACCTGCAGATGCACTGGGTGTTGGGGGATGTGCAGCCATTTGAGACGGTCTGCTGGCCACCGCTCTGCATAGGATGGGGAGCTAAAGGGTGTGTTGGTGCAGGGGCACCCTGTGGGAAGGGGACTGGGGGGCCGGAATTGGGCTGGGTCCCCTCCCTGGGTGACCTGGCAGTGCCCACAGGGGACTATCACCCAAGGGTTGGCAGGCTACTAGGGCCAATCCTCTTGGTAAAAACAACCCAAGATGCTCAATAAAATAGGAAGACATTGGCCAGACATGGTAGTTCACACCTGCAATCCCAGCACTTTGGGAGGCTGAAGCGGGCAGATCACCTGAGGTCAGGAGTTCGAGAACAGCCCGACCAACATGGTGAAACCGTCTCTACAAAAAATACAGAAATTATCCAGGCATGGTGGTGGGCGCCTGTCATCACAGCTACTCGGGAGGCTAAGGCTGAAGGATGGCTTGAATCTAGGAGGTGGAGGTTGCAGTGAGCCGAGACTGTGCCATTGCACTCCAGCCCGGGCAACAAGAGAGAAATTCCGTCTTAAAAAAAAAAAAAAAAAAAAAAATATATATATATATATATATATATATATATATATATATATATATATATATATATATATATATATATATATATACATATATATATGAAGACATCTTAAAAATTGCAGGAGCTGATGAGCTCCTGTAGGATTTGGCCAACACCTCAGAGAGCATGGCCCACAGAGGGCAGAAGAACACAATGGCCAATCCTGCCTCAGACTGTTTGCCCCCTGGACACACTGGGGCTCGTGCTATGGTGGCCTCAGGGGTGAGGGAGACAGAAGACAAGCCCCAGCCATCCCCACAAGATGGGGAACCTAACAGGAGACTCTCCCCTAAGTTAGGCTGGGACTCCAAAGAGCAACACTCAGGGAGAGATGACCTACAGCAGTAGCCACCCCCAGGGGTCACGGAGACATTGCACAAAAGTGAGGGGGAGTTCCTGAGAAGCTGGGGCATGGCCAGCTGTCCAGGTCCACACTGGGGGTACGAGGACCTGCAAGCCAAGCACAGGTTTAAGGGGCTCCAGCACTGGTAGTGCCCCTGTGGCCAAAGTTCATCCTATACTTCAAAGAAGTCTCAAAATCATTTTTGAAAGACAAGAAGCAGTCCACAGTCAGAAAGAACCACATAATGAGGCCAAGCGTGGTGGCTCACGCCTGTAATCCTAGCACTTTAGGAGGCCAAGGTGGGTGGATCACCTGAGGTCAGGAGTCCAAGACCAGCCTGGCCATCATGGTGAAACCCCATCTTTAAAAAAATAAAAAAAATAAAAAAATAAAGAACTATATAATGAAAGAAGCACCATGAGCAAGAACCAGCAGAAAGATACCCCCACACACATCACCAACCGACCATGCTCTGATGGCAGAAAGAAAACAGCTCAGAAACATCTGCAGGGGAAAGGAAGTGATAAGAGCAAACTGGGTTTACAAAGCAGGAAAAGGAACTCTTTTTTTTTTTTGAGACCAAGTTTTGTTCTGTTGCCCAGGCTGGAGTGCAATGGCGTGATCCTGGCTCATCGCAACCTCCGCCTCCCCAGGTTCAGGCAATTCTCCTGCCTCAGCCTCCCCAGTAACTGGGATTACAGGCATACACCACCATGCACAGCTGATTTTTCTTTTTTTTTGAGATGAAGTCACACTCTGTCACCAGGCTGCAGTGCTGTGGCAATCTCGGCTCACTGCAACCTCTGCCCCCCAGGTTCAAGCAATTCTCCTGCCTCAGCCTCTCAAGCAGCTATGATTGCAGGCATGGACCATCACATCCAGCTAATTTTTGTATTTTCAGTAGAGACGGGGTTTCACCATGTTGGCCAGGATGGTCTCCATCTCCTGACCTCATGATCTGACCGCCTTGGCCTCCCAAAGTGCAGGGATTACAGGCGTGAGCCACCGTGCCCAGCCAATTTTGTATTTTCAGTAGAGACAGGGTTTCTCCATGTTGTTCAGGCTGATCTTGAACTCTTGATCTCGGGTGATCTGCCTGCCTCGGCCTCCCAAAGAGTGCTGGGATTATAGGCATGAGCCAGTGCGCCCGGCCAAAAGGAACTCTTAGGAAGTTCTTTTAGAAATGAAAGCTTCAGTGACTGCACATTAAAGCTCAGCTGGGGGTTTAAGAGCAGATCAGGTGCAGCTGATGAGGCAGAACCATCCTGAATGCAGTGCAGGAAGCTGGGGAGCATGCTGAGCTTTGGGAGTGCTCCCAGGTGTCCACTTGCTAGGTGCCACTGATGGGGCAGGCCCAGCACTCACCACGTGGCCAGAAGACACAAGTCTGCTCACTCTGGAGGAGCTGGTCTTTCCTGCACGAGATCCCCTGGCTGCAGTCACTAAAGCCCTGCCAGCCGGTCCCTACTGAAATCCCACTGGCCTGGGGCCCAAGGCCTGCTCATCAGGGACATGCTCCTCTGGAGTGTTAGAGAAGGCCATTGGTCTTAGCTTCAGCTGACCTCAGCCTTCCCTGGGCTGCACGCCAAGCTGCTGGCAAGGCCATGAACGAGGGCAGTTCTGGCCGTTGATACCCACAGGCTACACAGAAAGGCACCTCCAGTTCAGCTGCAGGACCCTAAAATCCTAGCTGGCCAGGGTACTGAGGCAGCAGATCAGCCCTCCAGGCACCAGTGGCAGGGAAGGCTTCATGGTCCAAGGAAGGCCATCAACGGATCTCTGGGCAGCCTGGCACTGGAGGTGTGGGCGCAGAGCCCAGGGCTGTGGCCTCGACGAAGACGCGGTCATTGGGAGGGAAGGACCAGAGGAAAGCCAGCCCCTGGGGAGGGGACCATCAGGAACTGCCTTTCTCTCCAATCCCTCGCCCCCTGCTCGAGCCAGGCCCACTGCCCACCGGCCCCCGACCCAGCTCTGGCCAGCAGGTCTCCCCCTTCCCCTGCCAGCTTCACCTCCCCTAACCTGTGACCTTGCGTTTGCCTGGGCCCCTATGTGCTTCCTGAGCCAAGCCCTGCAGGTTCCCTAGGTGCAGCATGGCCCCCACACAGGCGCACTACAGGATTCTAACACCCTCCCATGCCTGCTGACTTGTGGGGCTCTGGAAGGAGCCGTGGATATAGTCCTTGTCCTTTTGGTCACCACATCTTGACCTGGACGCAGGGCAGGTGGGCACACAGGCAGCCAGGACCATTTCCCACAACTTACACATGTCCCATCACACCAGGTGAGGCTGGGCTCCTCAGGGCATCTCTTGTGCCACACAGAGCTCACCCTCAAGGGTGCCCGAGCTGGCCAACTCTACAGGAGAACTGGTGTCCCAGGGAGAAACGTGCCTGGCTTTCCAGGTGATGCCCCACCCTGCCTGTCCCCACCTGTCCTGGGTTCGGCACTTGGGCCAACCCAATGAACTCTCCGCATGTCCTCTGCAGTCCAAGAA